TGCCAGAACCTAGCATTCTTACATTCCGCGGTCGCGAACGCCATTACGCGGAGAGTGTCTGGCGCGACGCTATTTTTAGATTTTCCCCTCGCGCCACCCGCCCGCCCGCCTGCCCACCTGCCTGCCTCTCCCTCCTCCTCCCTCCGCTTGGGCAAGCGGCGCGGTAAGGTTGCGCAGTGTGTCTTTGTTGCGTTATCACTGACGTCATATGACGTACAAGACCTGTGATTGGCCATGCATCCCTACCCTCCTCTGCTGCTAGCTGTAATTGGCTTAAAGTATTATGACGTGTCCACCCGGGGGAGGGAGGGAGGGAGGAAAGACGACGCTTGACCTAGCCGCGACAGTTTCATCCCTCAAGGCCACTCCGTGTTAACGCGCATCCATTGTTCCGTAAAATGGCTTCCGCCGGACCACCACCCCCAGAGAAAAACCTTTCCTTACTTGGACCCAGCGGCACTAAACCAAAGAAGACACGACGTTCCTTAAGCTACGAGGTGAAGTATACCATCATCCAAGAGTTGGAGAAAGGAACAAGGCAGGTTGATTTGGCGCGCCAGCATGGCGTGAACGAATCTACGATCCAGACTATAAAGAAGGATTCAGCCAAGATAAAGGAGCACATGAAGATCACAAAGTCGACAGGTGCTTCTATGATCAAGTATTTTCACAACCAGGTGCTTCTCAAGACAGAAAAATTACTTGTGAGGTACTTGGTGCGTCAGGCGCGACGGAACATGGCGGTCGACACGCGCTCTGTGATGGACTACGCACGTGAACTGTACATGGCAGTGGCACGAAAGATGGGAATTACAGAGCCCAAACCCTTTAATGCTTCCTCTGGGTGGTTACAGAGGTTTAAGATCCGGAACAAGACCACCAATATAAACATTGGTGGTGAAGAAGCGAGTGCTGATCGTGCTGCGGCTCGGGAATTTCCTCCGTTTTTACGTGAGATTATGGAGGAAGGACAGTACAGTGACGACCAGGTGTTTAACATGGACGAATCTGGTCTTTTCTGGAGAAAACTGCCTTCCAAGTCCTACATTGTGAAGAATGCCAGCAGGATTCGGGGCCGGAAAATGCAGAAGGAACGCATCACCGTCCTGTTTGCCACCAATGCCTCCGGTACCTGTAAGCTCAAGTTATCGGTGATCCACACAGCACGCAAGCCGCACGCCTACAAAACCATGGACATGACCAAGCTAAATGTCCACTGGCTGACAGCACGTAAGGCATGGATGTTCTCTACACTGTCCCTCTCCTGGTTTGATGACTGTTTTGTTCCCGATGTAAAGAAATTCTGTGAGCAACAGAATGTCCCATTTAATATTTTGTTGCTGCTGGACAACGCACCAGGACACTCGCCCCTACTGTTAGATCGTCACCCCAACGTAAAAGTGGTCTTCCTTCCTCCCAACACTACGTCTTTAATCCAGCCCATGGACCAGGAGTTGATTTGCAATGTGAAAGCTGCATTCTCAACAAAAAAATTCCAGCTCCTGAACGACTACACCAACACCAGGGAAGAGTTGCGTGACCTGAGTGACACCACCACCGATAGCAAGAGCGACGAAGATGAGGAACAACGGTTAGAACAGCAAAAAATACTCTTCAAACAATTCTGGAGAGTATTTAACATCAAGAAAGCTGTGGACATCTTGGTGGAGTCATGGGATCAGCTGTCTATTGCTACAATTCGTCACACATGGAGACATGTGTTGCATGGAATACCAGGTGAGAGGAGGAGTCAATCTGTGACTGGTGAGGTTCAGAATGTTGCAGTAGCAGTGGACCATGCCAGAGAAGCTGCGCAGACTGTTACAGTTCCAGGCTTCTCCGAGACCACCAACGACGACATCCTGGAGGTGATCAGAGATCCTGAAGTGACTGCCGACGAGATGATGGAAGAAGAACACGTCAGTGAAGAGGAGGAAGAAGGTGCGTCAGTCTCCGAAGAACACAATTTAAGTCATAGTGATATTAAGGGTGCCATGGAGTGTGCAGAGAAGATGAAGTCCTTCCTTTCCCGCGACAATGACGATGACCGCTATGAAGTCTTCCATAACCGGCTGGTGCAGGCTATGGAGCCGTACATCAAGGTGTATCACGACAACATCAACGCCAGCCGTCAGCAAAGCATAACAGATTTCTTCACCCGCAACCCACCACAGCCAGCCCAAGCCAGTGATAGTGACAGTGAAGTTGACTTTGAGGGATTTGTCAGGGAAGCCCTGACAACTGTAAGTGACAGTGATGATGATTCACCTAGTAATGGTGATTCACCTGAGGGCCAGTAATCTGCCCTCTGCCTCGGAACCAGCCTCCTTCCCCGTATGCCGACCCATCTCTTCTATTACCGTAAGTGTTCCACCTAACTTTTAAGGTAACCTTCATTTTTCCTATGTTAACCTTTATCTTTCCTAACCTAACCTCTTCTATATTACTTGTTTTTTCATACCATCATAAAGTTAAGATAAAATTTTTACTACAACATAGTTGTGTGTCGTCAAAAAGTGGAGTTTGGGGATCGGCCTGGACTCCATTTCAATTAATCCCATATGTTATGTTGTTCACTTTACGCATTCCTCACTTTCCGCGGGACCCTCCGGGTTACATTAACCGCGTAATATGAGGACCAACTGTGTATATATATATATATATATATATATATATATATATATATATATATATATATATATATATATATAATATATATATATATATATATATATATATATATATATATATATATATATATATATATATACGTCTTATATAATATATATATATATATATATATATATATATATATATATATATATATATATATATATATATATATATATATATATATATATATATATATATATATATATATATATATATATATATATATATATATATATATAATTTTTTATTTATTTTTTATTGGGCATCTCCCTACATCCTTGTGTAAGGTGAAGCGCAGAAGCGTTTACAGCGCCCAACAGGGAAGCATGCTAAGTTCATGCTTGCCTCATGAGTTAAGGGCGTAGAAGCCTGAAGAGTCAATGGTTTATGTCTAAGCAAGTTATTGGAAGCTCCAACAACTTGTCCCTGAATACGAATTCGCAACTTTCGATTTACAGCAGGTACCTACTTTACTGCTAGGTGAACAGGGACCAAGGGGACTAGGAAGAGTGTCCAAACTTCTTCCGCCGGCCCGGGAATCGAACCCGTGACATCTTGCTTGCGAGGCAAGCACCCTATATCTGCCCATTATTCAAGTCATATAGAGGCCTAACCCAGAATTTGAATGTGTAGTTAAGATATGAACCCAAGACAATACAACCTCCATTTTCAAACTTTTTTCATAGACACAGTACGGCCAAGTATATTGACTAACAAGTCGTCGACCATTTTGTGGCAATTTCACTACAGTACTTTATTTTATGTACCACAACCTGTCAGTTAGTGAGTAGAGTAGTTCATACATGATGGCCTCATGTTTTTATGTAAAATATACAGTACAGTACTCTGAAAGTATATCACATTAAAGTAACGGCAGTGATGTTTATTAGAGAGATAGAAATTTGTCTGCTCATCCATTCATCATGCTAAATTATTATTTTTTTAAATTAAATTGGTGAAAAGAAGATATATTTTGCTGAAATGGATTTAATATTTTTTTTTTCATTATTCATGTCTTTTTAATGGAGATGTATATATGTTCACAAGTATTTCTATTTTTACAGATGATAAAGAACCAGGAACAAAGTCCCCCACAAAAGGGCTTACTTCACCCCTAAGTGATCGTCTTCTGTTTGGCAGCCAGGAAAACACTGCTAAGGACACAAATTTTAAACAGAAACATAAACAGCATCATTTGTGTGCATGTTGGTGCCAAGGGTGGGCAGAAATATTCATTAGGCAACCAACTGGTTGGTGAAAAATGGTTTCAGTTCATTAGGTTACAGTATTCCTTTGTGTCTTAGAAAGGGGCTATGCACTATTTGACATAGCTTTTTAGATTAAGGTGTTTGTACCATAAAGTAAATCCTTCCCACTCCACAGTCGTACAAAAAACTGCAATTCTTGTAATGTACACCCACTAAAATATTATTCTGCACCTGTCATATTGTATCACGCCGTAAGGGTGCCGAATAATTTTTTAGTGGGTTTACATGATACTTGTACACACACACACACACACACACACACACACACACACATATACATACATACATACATACATACATACATACATACATACATACATACATACATACATACATACATACATACATACATACATACATACATACATATGTATACATGCACAATACTTATATGTACACCCACTAAATAATTATTCGGCACCCTTATGACATGATACAATATGATATGGGTGCCGAATAATTTTTTAGTGGGTGTACATGATACTTGTACATACACATACACATGTATACATGCACGATACATACATGTACACCCACTAAAGAATTATTCGGCACCCTTATGGCGTGATACAATATGACATGGATGCCGAATAATTTTTTAGTGGGTATACCAAGCACATAATTTGCTATTAACAAATACTGGTATATCTTGCATGAGCAGTATATATGTGGCTTTTTATCTAGTTTTTAACAATTCATGTCACCTCATACTATCCCATGTGGTCTAAAGGGCAAGTAATCAGGTGTCCTGTAAAAAAAAAAAAAATGGGGCCCACGACTTCAGGGTCTTAAGCATATCAAGTGACAGTACAGTATACAGTAAAAACCCTGAATAACAGACTAATTAAGTCTGATTTGTTGCGTTCTACTGCACAAAGAGTTCTTAACTAATTTAAATGCAGAGCATTCACATGAGCAAGTGGAAACTGGAAGGGTCAGCAGCAACTGTTATGCTATAGCAACATTTGTGTAAAATCTTTTATTCCAGGCTGTCATGTAGATGTAAATACTGTATAATTACAGTAATGTAATTTTGTAAACAGCTGCAGATTTCGGTGCATGGCTGAACTCGAGTCTCATTCAAGTTTTGATGATAGAATGCATAAAGAGTTTGCACTTTTAAAATCTCCCCACATGAAGGAATCAATAAGCAGTCGGTGGAACATAACAATGGTGTAAATATTGTATCAAGTCTAGCATTCAGAGCAAACAACATGAAGTAAAATGTTTCAACATGCAGAGAAAGTTTGGATTTCCCAATGATAAATTTTTCAGTCTGCCAATAGTCATCAATGTGTTTGGAACAGAGGTCAGAGTGGAAAACCAGAAGTTACGGTACACACGCATAAAATGGTTTAGTGTCTTGATGTTTTCCTTTATTTGGAAACCTTAATCAAGACCCATAAATCTTCTAACTTATACATCATTTGGTGTGATAGTCCAGTATTATTGATGACATTACTTTAAATACGAGAATGTTGCATTGAAAATGTTCTAAGTATTAGTGTTTTTAACATTTTAGTTATATTTTCCATGAAGCATCTTATACATATTATTGTAGTTGATTGTAATTCAAAGTTTGGATTATATTTTCCTAATTATAATTTTTAGTTTTCATATTAAAGTTAAAGAAAATATTTTAATAGCAAAATTCTAAAAGTGAATGAGTGACGTGGCATTTACACAGGTACTGTAAAAAAATGAAAAACACACAAATTCAGTATCATCCTTCTACAATACAATACTGAAATTTATAAAGCAATTTGTAACTTGATGGAATTTCAGACTATTTTCTGTGCTTGGCATACTGCACGTAGGGTGTGTCATACGGAGGCGAATTTTTTTTTTTTTTTAGTTTGAAAAATCGGCCCATGGTATTAATGATGTAGTTCTATGTGCAGAATCATGTGATATCTTCAGATTTGAAAAGTTTTCATTTTTTGCTAGGTAAATTTTAACTTGAAATCTTATGAAAATTCAGTATTCCCACCCTTTTACCTACACCACTAAATAGCTTATTTAAAGTAAAGTAAATGTATCAGGTTAATTTATTAGGATGAAAATGATCCAGATGAAACGAATGATCTTGACACATTTATTAAATTTAATATTCCTTTAGAAAACAAAATCATCAAATACAAAAACCGGTTTTACTACTACGACCCGGTGTTGCTGCACACCATAGAGAACATGTCTTTCTTGCTTCTGTTTCTACTCATCACCTCCCTGCTGACCACCTGAGCTCGGATGTAGCCTTCCCTCCTCTCCTGGCTGTACACGTGACTGCTGGCCTCGCTCACTTGCTGTACACAACGCTCTATACTCTGGGTATGCGAGGGCCAGGCAGGGACATGCATGGGGTTGTCCAGGAAAGCTCTGACTTGAACATTGGTGAGGCTGCAGGTAAGAGGGGGCTCACTGCCAGCCTGGATGTTATCCAGATCTATGAGATCAGTGAGGGCCTTGGCACCTAGATTGACTTCTAGGAGTCTTCCTCCTGACCCCTGAAGGAATCGCCACCAACTGATCTGTCAGTGCCCGATCCTCTCATAAGTCTCATATCCAAGATCTTTGACTGCCGCCTTCCTCTCATCCCCTACTGCAGAGCATTGTCTGCAGAACTGCCTCAGGATGCCGTGAGCATACCAGGAAGATCTCCTCACAGTCTGCTCCACAATCTGAACAACCTTCCTTGGCTGACTCCCTCAGGAGCCTGCTGGAAGAGAACATGCCTCGACCTTTCGGAGAACGATGACTTGACCTTGGTGTTGAACCAATTTGGCAAGTAGACACTACGATGAATTGGACAATAAGTTCCAGGGCACAGAAGCTGGTTCCTTTCAGTTTATGATGAGCTTAATTCAAATTTGCAGAACCTGAGAGCCGTTGTGAGCCACCTAGAATGTGAGACTGGACCTATCTGCAGGTAAACAAGTCTATCAGGCATGACCCCAGTTTTGATGGCACTGCAAATCATGTAACCATAGTACTGGTCAGTACTCAGGTCGTCAATGACAGTATGTGCAAGCTCAACGAGTGGAGGGCCAACTGTGATTTTTTTCAAAGCTCGGATTTATTTCTAACTCAGTGGCAGAGTCCAGCATCTTGCCAAGAGGACCAGACCATCTGTTGTTTGAAAGAGTCTGCCATCCAGCTCCTGGATCAGATGTCTGGAGTGGCAACTCGTTGGTGTGGAGGTCATAAAACAATCCCAGACCAGCTTCCTCCCAATCTTCCGCCTCTATCCACTGTATGACCTCCCTACACCCCTGTGTTCGTGTTGGTGCTGTCCCCTCCAATGGCCTTTTCGCAGGGTCTGGTCTACGCTCCTCTCTCTGAGCCAGTTCACAATGTTATCTGCCACTATCTCAGCTGGTTTCTGACGTCATCTTTCTCTCTGGCGAAATGCCACAACAGCTTCCTCCCTGGTTCACTGCAGCAGGAGAAGTCTCCTTCACCATGGCAGGGAAACAACTTGTCAGAATCTCCAACTTTCATGAACACTTTAGTGTCATCCCTTCTCCCATCAAAGAACAAACAATTGATTCCATTTTCTCTTATCCCCTTATCAAACTCCTCTTCTAGGTTACTGACAAGTTTCTCCTGAGCCCCCCTTACTTTGTTATGATCTATCACCAGGTGAACATCATCAGGTGTTATCAAACCACTGTCAATCCAGGCAGCTGTTGCTATCTCTGCAGTTTCTCTGAGACCAGTGTGGTGTCGCATGCTGGCCAGAGCTATGCTCGGGATATCTTTCCTATTTCGAATCTTATGCCTGGAAGGTTTGGGATCATTATTTTCTGGGTTAGGGACAAAGTCACCATTTTCCTGGTCAGCACTCGGATCAGCCATGGGGAAGTCATTAAACTCTGAATCAGCTTGACTCCAATCATCGGCCTTTTTTACCTCAATCTGGCCTTCAAGTCTCTTTCCTCGGCAACTCTTTCCTCTTCTGTCTCTCTGTGGCAGCCTCCTCCTCAAGGTCTCTTGGACTCCGGAATATTTTGGCTAGAAATCATGAGAGCCCCTATACTGCCAGTCTTCTCTCTCTGTGCTTTGACAAATGCCAGTTCGATCACAGGAATCTTCAGTTCACGTTTGCAAATAGAGGAGATGTGGGCCTCGGATTTACAGTCACGATCGCATCCAAACTCAGGACAGAGAACAATTGGGCACTTGCAAGTAATTATGTCAAATAACTGGTCCAGTTGCTTGGCAAAGCTGTCCTTAACTGCAAGTTTTTCTCTCCCAAGAGAGATATCTCTTGCCTTTTCCCAACTGGCTAGCAGTCTCTCACTAATCTTCTTCTGACTTGTTATGACTGGAGGCTTGAACTGAGCGTTAGCCAGAGTGTACTGCGCCAAGACAGCTTTGGTCATAATCACTGGCAATTGTCTTTGTTTGTGTAAGTTCTTTGGTTCTTTTCACTGATTTGCCCATTTAAACAATCAGATCTCAAAGCATCTCCCCAATGTAGGCAATCACCAGGAGCCTTCCCAGACCCAAGATAGTGACTGAGATGGCTGGATTTTTGGTTCCTCGTCCCGACACAAGCAGCCATCGCAAATATTATCAACTTATAAATGCATCAGAATCTGAAACAGAAAAAAATATTGTTAGTTGGGTTGTTAAAGAATGAAGTCAGAAAGCAATGTTCACTATTTAATTGTAATGCACTAATGCAGCTGTACGTTAGATTTTCGATAAATTTCACGCTAAAATTTACCTAGCAAAAGGTTGCAAAATATTGAAACTGAAAATTTTTCTGTTTATATACACTAAAATCTACCCAAAAAGTGATGGGCCATTAGTTTTAGCTGATCTTCCCTCCTATGACACACCCTAATACTGCAGGGTCTCAATTGTTTCTCTTACCATTGACAACACAACATACAGTACATATATTGTTTCTCACTCTTGATCTTTTTTAATTTTTGTTTTTATTATTAGTATTATTGCACTGTTGTTATTTTTATTATTATTACAGTATTATCATTATTATTTTATTTTTATTTTTGTATTTTTAGGAAAAATTTTACTTTTCTGACATTATTATTATTATTATTATTATTATTATTATTATTATTATTATTATTATTATTATTATTATTATTATTATTATTATTATTATTATTATTATTATTATTATTATTATTATAAACAACACCACCACCACCACCCCCAGGCCCCGATGTGGGTCAGTGACCTGTGCCCGGGTGGGCTAATCCCCGTAAGAAAAAAAAATTTCCATCACTAATGAGTAAGGATTTTGATTTAATGGGAAAGGCTGGCTCAAATTGGTTAGTTAAATCGAGAGAATACCATGCATCATGATCATGTAACACCTTGTCACACTTTTTTCAGACGAGATCATTGATCAACTTTCTGGAGATATAGATCATGTAATGTTTTGTGTCCAATTATGGTGCTACAGTAATGTTTCTTTATACAGTAAGTCCTCAATATATGTGAGTTCAGCATATGCGAATTCATTCATATGTGAAGGCCTTATTCCTACCAGGAATTCAATTAATGTGAGCAAAATTCAGCCTTAAGTGAGATGTCATACTCCCTGATATGGATTCCAACCCTGATGGCTCTGCAGATGTCACTCCATCACCATCACCCATTATATAAAACCTCTACCACCACCTCCATCATCTCATCTACCCAAGTTGATGTACAGTACTGTATATGCTTTTATTGTTAATTACACTGTACTGTACACTTAGTTTATCTATTACGTACTTTAAAAAAAATATTGTATTGATTTGTTTTATGGTTTGTCTTGAAAATGGGTCTGGAACATTTTCATTTTGGGTTATGGAATGCATCCTATTTTCTCCCATTTAACTAAATATTCAATATATGCAATTTCGATTTATGCGAGGGTTTTCAGGAAAGCATCCCTTGCATATATCAAGAACTTACTGTATTCTACCTAATAACATGCAAATGGTATGGTAATGACACCTCACTGACAGAAAGCACATAGAATAAATGTTTTTTCTTAAAAAAAACTCTTGTTATTGATATCTTACAGAACATTCTTTAGAATATTTTCCTTCTGAATTACCATATTTTTTCATATACCAGTATGAATTGAATCTTTATTATTTATTTCATTCAGGTAACACATCTTGGATGATGCGTATCCAAAATCAGCAGACATTGATGACATCTGAAGGTGAACTTCCACTATATAACTTGAGTGAAATGTATTCACCAGCAGTTAGACAAGATCCAGGTGATGGTCTTGACTCTGTCTTCTCGGAACTAACAAGAGAAGAAAAGAAAGAGGAGGTATGAAACTTTTTTTAATGAAAATCTTTGAAGCTTAAAAAAAATTGAATCATACATTTACTGGTCAGGAAATTTTACTGTAATACCTGTCCTGTAATCTTTCTTCAGCCATCTTAGTACAGAATAAGATATTTGGTAATTATTATTTTTTTGTTCAATCCAGAATGCGACGTCTAGCTTTATACCTAGGAATGTTAATGCCTAGCAATAACTCACCAGACCAACGTACAGGCAATTATAACATCTAATAATTACTTAATAAGTAATGTTAGGAGGACATGTCGCTACCTGGCATTTAATTGCAATTCTCAAACCCCCTCCTGCACCCTCCATCACACGAATTGCTTCCGTCATCATCTTGCCTGGCGAATCAACTATAAATACGCACAAAGAAGGCTCCGCTAATTTGTGTTGTAATAGCTGAAATACTAAGTGCCACGAGGATCTTATATACGGTATTTATACATCTTAGCAGAGTGAGGAAATCGAGTGACTTTTAATTTGTTTATATCTCTCAGATATTGTGTTTGGGACAATTTCTTATACGATCTCTGGTTAGCATGGCGACAGCAGCGCGCCTTCTATTATGAAGGCGCTAGATCGTAAGTGACTAATATCCTCTGCTTTCAAGTCACTTAGTGTGTGACGTTGTTTTTTGCCCTTCCGGGCTTGTCTTCACTGAAAGAATATATATATATATATATATATATATATATATATATATATATATATATATATATATATATATATATATATATATATATATATATATATATATATATATATATATATATATATATATATATATATATATATATATATATATATATATATATATATATATTATATAAATCACACGGGAAGATGGAAACAACGGAGTACCTTAGCTTTCGTCTTTATTCAAGACATCTTCAGAGGCAACTGGATTACATGGACAGAGAGAGGCTTAAATATACAGGGTGACCTAAAAACATGAGGTCAGGTCAATATAGTGGACTTTATTCCTCCATGGTATAGATATGTAGATGATGTTCTTTGTCTTTGGCCTAAAAACAGTGACCCATTGGAATTTTTAGACAAGCTTAATAATATTGTCCCTAGTATCACATTTAAAATTGAAAGAGAAATAAATGAATCCCTTCCATTTCTTGATATGCTTATCATGAGAAATGGCCAAAACTATAAATTTAAGGTATATAGAAAGCCCACACAGGTAGACAGTTTCATTCACTTTTTATCGAATCACCTTGAGTCTACCAAAATGTCAGTTTTTTCTGTTATGTTTTTAAGATGTCTGCGTATTTGTGACTCTGAATTTATTGACGATGAATTGAAACACATTCGTTCTATTGCACATAAACTTGGGTACCCTTCTGTGTTTATTGATCGTTGTTTTAAAAGGGCTAAAAAATCCTTTCATTCCTCTCAAACCAGACAAGTTCCTACACTTAAGAATATTTTGACTCTGCCCTATCGTAATGAATTTGTCCCGTTAGTTCGGTCCCTCAAGCTTCTAAATATTAATGTTGTTTTCAAGTATGACTCCACCATTACCAATATGTTAATAAGGAATAGCCCATGTTTGAATGTAAATGGAAGTGTTTATTGTATTCCATGTAGCAAATGTAATTGTAATTATGTAGGTCAGACAGGAAAAACACTGCAGCTCAGAATCAAACAACATAAGTATAATATCAGAACTGCATCTGAAAGCAGTGCCTTGTTTGTTCATGTTAGGAATAATAATCACCCCATTGCTTGGGAAAAAAGCTTAGTAGTATTCAAATCATCTTGTGTCACAGAAAGACTTCTTGTTGAAGCTAGTTTGATTAAGGAATTAAAATCAATAAACCTTAGTGATGGTCAGTTCAAAACTGATAATATGTTACATAAATTTATTTGTCAGTGGCCCAAGGTTAAAAATGCTTTGAAAACCTTTGATCTAGATGTATGATAGTTATTTTGGGTCCCTTTTTTCTGACCTGACTTGGCTAGTCACGTCACCTCCCTTCTCTTAAGCTCCTCTACGTGTGTGTTGGTGTGGGGATTAGTGGATGTCATCATTTTGACCTGACCTCATGTTTTTAGGTCACCCTGTATATTTAAGCCTCTCTCTGTCCATGTAATCCAGTTGCCTCTGAAGATGTCTTGAATAAAGACGAAAGCTAAGGTACTCCGTTGTTTCCATCTTCCCGTGTGATTTTATCAAGATTTATCTTATCCACGTTTTCATTGTGGATTTACATGAAATATATATATATATACACACAGTAGTACCCCGATTTACGCGGTCAATTGAACCCACAGGGTACCGCGGAAAGTGAACAACGGAACATATGGGATTAATTCCAATAGAGACTGGCCCGACCCCCAAACTCCACTTTTTCCGACACAATACCTATGTTGTAGTAAAAATAACATCAAAATTTTATGATGATATGCTCACACAATTAATATTTAAGAGAAATACAGTCGCCAGGTTAATGTCCATTCAAATAATGGACTCAAATCCCCCCCCCCCTCTTCCCAGCTCACTAGCTCCTACCTCTCTGATTAATGTTTGGGTGAAAACTCTAGATTTTAACGTTTAGTAATAAATAATACCTCAGACTAAAGTTAGGATAATATAATTGACATTTCTGGATTCCTTGCAGGTCAGGGAATATTTTGAATGTAAACTTCATATATTTTGCACAAAAGATAAAATATTTGCTTTGTGTAAACCAAATTATTACTTTAGATCTAAAATTTGTATGTCTAATGCAAAATCCATGATGTTTATATTCAAAATGATCATCATATTGTAAGAATTCCAGCAATGTAAATTATATTCTGGCCGGGTAATTTGTATGAATTTTATGAGCTAAAACATATATCTTCAGTAAATAAACAAAGAAATATTCTTCAAGGACACTATCTGTCAATCAAAATACTCCGCCCTAGCTGGGTCAGTCCCTCCCTCCCTCCCTCCCTACCAGAGAAGCGATTGGGAGAAAATAGCATATTTACATTTTTAGTAATAAATAATAACTCAGACTAAAGTTAGGATAATATAATTGACATTTCTGGATTCCTTGCAGGTCAGGGAATATTTTGAATGTAAACTTCATATATTCTGCACAAAGGATAAAATATTTGCTTTGTGTAAACCAAATTATTACATACAATAAGATCTAAAATTTGTATGTCTAATGCAAAATCCATGATGTTTATATTCAAAATGATCATCATACTGTAAGAATTCCAGCAATGTAAATTATATTCTGGTCGAGTAATTTGTATGAATTTTATGAGCTAAAACAAATATCTTCAGTTAATAAAAAAAATATATTCTTCACAACACTATCTGTCAATCAAAGTACCCCACCTTGCCTACCCCCCCTCTTCCAACGGTCGGTCCCAACCCTCCCCACCCCCCACCTTCCCTCCCTACCAGAGAAATGTTGGGTGAAAAAACTAGATTTTAACTTTAAGTAATAAATAATATCTCAGACTAAAGTTAGGATAATATAATTGACATTGCTGGATTCCTTGCAAGACCTTGAGTATTTTGAATATACACTTCATATATTTTGCACAAAAGATAACATATTTGCTCTGAATAAACAAAATACTTGCATTATATCTAAAATTTGTATGTCTAATGCAAAATCTATGATGCTTTTATTCAAAATGATCATCAAATTGTAAGAATTCCAGCAATGTAAATTATATTCTGGCCGGATAATTTGTATGAATTTTATGAGCTAAATAAAACAATTATACTTCACCTGCGTAAAGGGGTACACGCACTGCGGAATGTGAGCATCCAGGGTTCTGGCAGGGTACCGCGGAATGTGGGACCGCGTAAAGTGAGGGTTGACTGTGTATATATATATGTGTATATATATATATATATATATATATATATATATATATATATATATATATATATATATATATATATATATATATATATATATATATATATATATATATATATATATATATATATATATATATAATTTAGGAAATTTTCGGTGAGCTGGAACCAATTACTACCCAAAAACCCATTGAAACAATGGTTTCGGTTAATGAACTTTTCGGTTAACGAACGACCTTCTGGAACGGATTGAGTTCGTTAACCGAGGGGTCACTGTATATGTGTGCGTGTGTATACACACTAAACACATACAAATAAATTGATAATGGGAAAATACTCACAAATAATCAGAAACAAATTTATTAAGAATGTGACATACCCAGAGTGACGCCGAACTTTACCGGACGTGGCCAAAGCTTGACCCACGCAAGTGTGAGGCGTCAGTTGTGTCTCAGCAGATTATAACTTGCATTGCTGGAATCCTTGCAAGACAGCGAATAATTTGAATATAGACATCATATATTTTGCACAAGAGATAAAATTGTTAGTCCTATAGTGTACAGTCAACCCTCGCTTTACGCGGTCCCACTTTTCGCATTTCCACGTTTACGCGGTACCTGCCAGAACCCTGGATCCTCACATTCCGCGGTGCGTGTACCCCTCTACGCGGGTGAAGTATAATTTTTTTATTTAGCTCATAAAATTCATACAAATTATCTGGTCAGAATATAATATACATTGCTGGAATTCTTACAATTTGATGGTCATTTTGAATATAAGCATCATAGATTTTGCATTAGACATACAAATTTTAGATCTAATGCAAGTATTTTGTGTACTCAGAGCAAATATGTTATCTTTTGTGCAAAATATATGACATTTATATTCAAAATATTCCTGGTCTTACAAGGAATCCAGCAATGTCAATTATATTATCCTAACTTTAGTCTGAGGTATTATTTATTACTAAAAAGGTAAATATTCTGGTTTCTCCCACACATTTCTCTGGTAGGGAGGGTTGGTGGGGGGTGGGGGGGAGGGAGGGACAGACCGACCATCTGGCGCGGTTGGAAGAGGGGGGAGGCAAGGTGGGGTACTTTGATTGACAGATAGTGTCGTGAAGAATATATATTTTTTATTAACTGAAGATATTTGTTTTAGCTCATAAAATTCATATAAATTACCCGGCCAGAATATAATTTACATTGCTGGAATTCTTACAATTTGATGATCATTTTGAATATAAACATCATAGATTTTGCATTAGACATACAAATTTTAGATCTACTCTTAAGTATTTTGTTTACTCTGAGTAAATATGTTATCTTTTGTGCAAAATATATGACATTTATATTCAAAATATTCCTGGTCTTACAAGGAATCCAGCAATGTCAATTATATTATCCTAACTTTAGTTTGAGGTATTATTTATTACTATACCTTAAATTCTAGTGGTTTTTCCCCCAAACATTTCTCAGAGAGGGAAGAGCCAGGAGTGTGAGAAGAGGGGGAGGGAGTTGAGTCCATTATTTGAATGGACATTAACTTGGCGACTGTATTTCTCTATTTCTCTTAAGTATTAATTGTGTGCATGTACCATCATAAAATTAAGATGTTATTTTTACTAGAACTGTGTGATACTCAGGTGGTCCTTACACTCAGGGGTAAAGGAAACACACTGATGTCAAGTCCGTAAGTTCTATTCCTGGTACAAACACAAAAAGGAGTTAAGACGGGTAAACAGCGTCCTGTCTTGGAATCTCTCTGGGTATCTCTATCTGCGCATGAGCGTACAGCGCGCATGAGCCCAAAGCCTGAACTAACACTTGGTGACAAAAGGGAGTATGATTATAAAACATATAATACAGAGACCTGAATCAATAATGGTAAATAGTACAGAGTTACATATTACAGCCATATTCGTCTCATATATCTACAAGAACATAGGTATTGTGCCGGAAATAGTGGAGTTTGGGGGTCAGCCGGTCTCTATTTCATTTAATCCCATATGTTATGTTGTTCACTTTACGCGTTTCTCGCTTTACGCGGGCCTCGTGGGTTCAATTGATCGCGTAAAGTGAGGGTTCACTATAGTACATTTAAGTACATGTACTGTACACTTTTTCAACTCTTAATTTTGAGTAGATATACGTAACTTTCTTCATTTATTTTTACTCATTTACATACACACACCATCCTACATACATATTGTGGAAAAAATAAAAGAAATAATTGTCCTAAGGGCAAACCTGTACTGTACTCAAATGTACTAAATAATTACTCAAATTTTATGCCTAGTGTAAACTGTATCATGTTTTTATTCAAATTAATCACTAATTTACAAGGATTCCAGCAATATAAGTTATATTTTCCCAAGTGAGTTCAGTGACATTTTATAAGCTAAAAACTTAAACTCCCTTTGTATGACTGAAAACGACGTCTGGGTCCGTAATCTCCCCGCAGGCTGGTCAATACCTCATTTCACCCCCCTCCTCCCCCTGCCTTCAACCACCAACTCACCCATACTCTCGCCTCCGCCTCTGTAACCTCCCTCCTCAACCCTCCCCTACGCCACTTTGGGATAGCAGAAGTCGCCAGTCGTCAATGTAAGTGTTATTTAAGATGTATTTCCAATTGTTTTTCATGTAGTAACAGTTTTTTCTTTATTAATGAGTAAGGTAAAGGAATGTTTATTGTGACAGTTATATGATTTTTCCCCTAACCTGTACCATTGACATGCATTCTTATGGGAAAAAATATGTTTAATTTACGCATTTTTGAATTATGCGGTGATTTTCAAGAACGTAATCCTGCATAAAACGAGAGGTGGGTTTACAGATAAAGGAAATTACTCTCTCTAGAATGAATGGCTGTCTGTCCCAGCTGCAAAAGTGCTGGCAATTTTAAAACTACTTACAGACATCCAGGGTGTCATCCGCAAATACTAGAGGACCGGGAAATAAAAATCCGCAAACTTGGGGGGCCCCATGTACTTTATCTAAATTTACAATATACTCTACTGTGCAGAACTGTACAGTTCTAATCTTTTGCAATTTATCCATAGCTTAATTTTATCTCTTGAAATATTTTATTGCTTGTATACTTTATAATATTTGCATATGTTTTTTAATACCAAGATATTTATTCCAATCCTCTTTATCCAGAAAAGTGTTAGACAAAGTAGCAGCATCTTGACAGTCGACAACATCTCTGGCTCTCCTCGTGTTGGTACTGGTGTTGCAGAGAGAAGTGGTGTAGTATCTCCACAACCTCTACGACGAGATAGAGGACACACTATATCTGACATGAATCCTGCCTCCCGCAGAGTTCTTAATAAAGATTCAGTTGCTGCAAGTAAATCAAAGAAAATTGAAGAAGGCATTTCACCAAAGTATGTATTTAAAATATTGTACTAAAAGTAGAGCATTTTGATAGAAAATGCTTAGATATGTGTTTCTTAATAGGACATACAGTACAGTATATAAAGATATGTTTATTTGTAAATAATTGTGTCAAACTTTTTCACTATCAATCCTTTTCCCACTAATGTTGGGTTGCTGCAATTAGAAAAAAAAAAAAACACACACGCACGCACGCACGCACGCACGCACGCACGCACCTATGAGTAAATAGAAATTAAAAATAGAAGAGAAAAAGACTAATTAATCTATACCGCGAAGATGCCGAAAAACCATCTTTTTGAAGTGAGACAGATAGTAAGAGTATGGAAACACAGAAGAAGGCAGAGCATTCCACAGTTTGGCTGTGTAAGAAAAGTAGGACGTACTATAATGGGTTATTCTAGTGTGACCGGCATCCACTTGTGTACAAAGAAATGTATATTCCCTTTGTGTTTCCCTTAAGACAATTTGTTTTTTACCTATACTGTATTGTACAGTATATACAGTATGTGTGTGTGTGTGTGTGTTTGTGTGCATACACATAAATAATAATGGGAAATACTCTCTCAAATAATCAAACATATTTATTAAAAATGTGACAGTCTACCCTCAAGTCTGTGCTTTATTAATATAGTAATAAAGCACGGACTTGAGGGTAGACTGTCTTATTTTTAATAAATTTGTTTCTGATTATTTGTGAGAGGATTTTCCAATTATTACTTATTTGTATGTTCTGTGTGTGTGTCTACACACACACAAACATATTTACAATACAGGTAAAAGAAATTACTGTCTCTAGAACGAATGACTCCCTGTCCCAGCCGCAAAAATGCCGGCAACTTAAAAACTACCCACAGACATTTTTCGGTACATCCAGGGTGTCATCCGCGAATAATAGAGGAACGCGAAATGAAAATCCGTGAACTTGGGGGGGCCCTGTACTGAGTTTTATTACTATTGAATTTAACTAAGTTTCTACCTCCCCATTTGGAGATGCTGCTCAGATCCACATCGATAGATGAAACGATATCAACTCTAGAAACAGATCTATTTTGAGAATTAGGGGGAAGGGAAAAATGTGAAGAAGAGTGAAGAGTAGAATCATCAGCATAAGAATGAATATAATTAGTCATAGTGTAAAGTAAATCATTGATAAAAAGAAGGAAGAGGGTAGGTGAAAGAACAGAACCCTGTGGGACACCACTATTGGTAGAGAAAGAGCAAGAAATCGATCCCTCGACAACAACTGCCATGGATCGGTTCTCAAGGAAGCTAGAAATAAGAGAAAAAACTAGGGGAGAGAAACCATAAGAGGGTAGTTTAGAAAGCATAGACTTGTGTCATACCCTGTTAATTGCTTTGGAGATGTTGATTACCACGATGAAAGTTTCCCCATAATCCCTAAGAGAAAATGACCAAAGATGGGTGCAGTAGAAGACCAGATCACCAGTAAATCTCGCCTGGTGAAAGCCATACTGGTGAACTGACAAAAGAGAAAGGCATTCAAGGTGACACAGAAAATGAGAGAGTAAGATGGTTTCGAAAATCATAGAGCTGGATGAAGTTAGTGCCATAGTTGGTGTTTACATGGGGGTGGGGAGGTGGTTGTGCCCAGTTTGATTTCATAGGAATAAGATTGTGATCAGAAGACCCTAAGGGGGCAGAAATTGAGTATGAATAGTGTGAGGGGTTAGAGGAAAACAAAGATAAAGAATGCTAGGTCATCCCTTGCAGAACCAAGCTCTACTCTGTAATGTACAGTCGGCCACAGTAATAAGTACAGCTACTCCCCGACTTACGACGGGGTTAGGGACCCAAATCCAGGTCGTAAGTCGAATTGGTCGTAAGTCGAAAATGCAAAAATAAATACATAGAAAATCTAAAATGAAATACAGTACAGTAAAAGTAATCAGTAATGAAGAATGGATACAGTGTTACTGTGCACTTATCTTTAATGTAGTCAGCTGAATGCACATATGGCCCCCATCATTTTCTAATTATACATGGAGACTACATTAACTGGATGAAGCAGAGGACGAGACAGGGCTGGGTGGGTCATCAATGTCGCTTTCTTCAGACAGGTTAATATACAGGGGGAAACTTGCTTGTTGAAGGTATTGGATCATCTTGAGGGAGTGAAGAGGCAGCACTGGTGGGGCGTGAGGAGACCAATGGGGGGACTTCTTAAAATATATGTCCAATTTAGACTGCACAGTTTGCCATTTCTTTTCATTATAAATCTCCCTGTAGCAAGCAAGTGCATCTTGCACCATTCTGTCAACTTTTGCAAAATGATCAAAATTTTGATCCATTCCGTCTAACATTTGCATCCCCTTATTAATTGTAGCAAATGCCTCTGCCATTTGCTTCACTGAAAAAGTTTTGGGGAGTGCAGGTTCTTCTTCTACATTTTGACTCCCTTCTTCACCTGCATTTTTCTGTGCTTCCAGTTCAATAAGATCCTCGTTACTTAGCTCTTCTGCTACTCTTTCAACCAACTGCTCAACATCTTCATTATCAATTTCTAACTCAAGCTGTTTACTCAACTCCATTATCTTGTTACTAATCTCAGAAATTACTTCATCTTCATTAAATCCAGTTAAACTGTTCACATATCTTTTCAGGACTTTCTTCCATATTCCATTCATGCACTGACCTGTAACCTCATCCCATGCTGCACTAATGTTCTTCATACATTTCAAAATGGGTTGGAAGAATAGAGGTAGTGTTAGGTGGAATGTAGACTACCTTAACATCAGGGTGCATGTCGTCCAGGTGTGGTGGGTGTCCCGGAGCATAATCCAAAATTAACAAAATCTTGAATGCAATCCCTTGTTGCAGACAATACTCCTTGGCTTGTGGAATGAAACAAGTCATGAACCAATCCTCAAACAGTACTGGGGTCATCCATGCTTTCTTGTTACTGCAATAAAACACTGGCAGTGTGTGCTTGCTGACATGTTTAAAAGCCCTTGGGTTCTTTGAATGATATATCATGAAGGGCTTTAACTTGAAACCAGCTACATTCCCCCCCAACAGAAGTGTGATTCAGTCCTTGAATGCCTTGAATCCCGGCATTGTTTTTGCCTTCTTGTGGATGTATGTCCGTTCAGGCATGCGCTTCCAGAATAAGCCAGTTTCATCCATATTAAATATTTTCTCAGGCAAATAATTTCCCTCCACAATGACACGATCTAGCTGCCCCCTAAAAGCTTCGGCAGCACCAACATCAACACTTGCTGCCTCTCCACTCACCTTTACACTATGCAAACTGTAGCAGTTCTTAAACCTTTGGAACCACTCATGACTTGCTGTGAAGGTTTGGTCACACTCATCTCCTGCCTGCTCCTTCAGGCTTTCGAAAAGGCTTCTTGCCTTAGCCTGTAAGGTTAGAAGGCTTAAGGGTACACGCTTTTGTATCTGATCTTCCATCCATATCACAAGTAATTTTTCCATCTCATGAATAGGACCTTGTCTTTTCTTCGTTATTATAGTGTAGTTCTCTTTATAGGTACTGATTCTTTCACTACCTCATGAATACGTTCCTTGTCCTTCAAAATAGTAGATATGGTCGAGTGCGAGAAGCCTAGGTCGCGTGAAATGGTTGCTACTGTTTTTCCATTTTCATACTGCATTATCATCTTCATTTTCGTCTCAAAAGTAATTGACTGGCCCCTTTTCTTCTGAGCACCACCAGCACTCTCACTTCTACGCTTGCCAGTCTTCTAAAGTGAATTAGTTACTAAAATAATGTCGGTACACAGCATGATCATTATCGACAACAATGGCAGCCAAACACCAATTAAGCGCTCTACGGCGTGGGTGCTGTAGCCACGAGGTGGCGTGACCCAGCCCACGCGACGCTCTCATACGGGACGGAAACGTTTCGGTATAGAAAATACGCGCATCTTTTGAAAAAAAATTTGGTACCGACTGCGGCGGTCGTATGTGCAGATGGTCGTACCGACTGAGGCAGGTCGTAAGTGTAGGTGGTCGTAGGTCGAGTATGTTGTAAGTCAAGGAGTAGCTAGATTTTGCCAAGGCTTTCAACAGTGTACGCCACGAAAGGCTGAAAATCAAACTGGAAGGGTACGGAATTCGGGGAAATGTCCTAGCGTAAATAGAAGACTTTCTACATGACCGCAAGCAGTGTGTGGTCACAAGAGGGGAACCACAGGGCAATGTATTGGGCCTGCTGTTGTTTGTTTGTTTCATAAATGACATGCCTGACGTACACTCCTCCATATAAATGTTTGCGGTTGACGCCAAGTTATTTCGGGAAATCAAGAACCAAGTGGACTGTGAAGAGCTGCGGAAGGATGTCTGTGAGCTCCATGAATGGTTGAAGAAATGACTGCTGAGATTCAATGTCACGAAGTGTAAGAGGATGCACCTGGGGCGTACCAACGGTAAGGAGGTGTTTCATATGTCCCAACGGGATGAAGAAAGTGCACTAGTTGAGACTGAATGTGAGAAGGACCTAGGTGTATATGTTGACAATGAGCTGAAGTTCTTGGGCCATTGCGAGAAGAAGGTAAATCAGGCAAATAATTTATTGGGTCTTATAAGAAGGTCTTTCAGATATCTAGACTGTCCGTCCCTCGTAACGATCTTCAAGAGTGTAGTGCTTCCCCATCTGGAGTACTGTCACCCCGTCTGGTCCCCGAGATATGCTATGGACTGTCAGGTGGTTGAAAATGTTCAAAGGAGGGCCACCAGACTGGTGCCTGCACTTCGGCACCTCAACTACCCTGAGAGGTTGGAGCGCCTGAACTTGCCTAGCGTATACTACAGACTGGCAAGGGGCGATCTAATTGAGGTGTATAAGCATCTCAAGGGGCACTACTCAATCGAGTGTCCTTACTTGGAGCTGGCAGACGCTCGCCCCACAAGGGATCACAGCTCAAGATTGAAGAAGCCGCAAGTCCAGAAAACTGTGAGGGCAAAGTTTTTCGGAGTGAAAGTTTTGATTTCTTATAACAATCTGCCA